AAGGGCTTTTTTATTGGGTTATGGTTTGGCAAAATCATACACAAAACCCCTATACTCTCTACATTTAGTTGAATCCAATCTTTTACTTAAAATCGAATCATATAAATGCCTATAATTTAAGTTAAAGGTTATTTAAACTCCTTGTCCCATTTAAAACAAGAGCAGCGCTACGTAGCACAAATTTTGTGTCAGCCATCATTTCCCTTGAAACAAATATAATAAATTAATAACCAAGTATTCCTTTAATCAAATTAATTCTATGAAGGACCTTAATTTCCTTTAGCTAAAATCAGAGGGACTGATTTGATTCAATTTAAAGTACAGATTTCATTCGACTAAATTTTAAAAGCAGAACGACCAGCCGAGGCGTCGTTTACTGTTTGCTTAAAGCGGTCCCGTTTAAACAGATAGATCATAAGCCCTCGCTTAGGGTTTTTGAGTTCGAAGCAAACAACAATGGTGCTATCAAACAAGAAGCTAAAGCAGAAGCTAAGAACAGTAAAGGCTGCGTCTTTAGCATCCAAACTGTCTAATCGACCCGGCCCAGATAGCAAAAACGAATCTTTAGCAAACCCAGAGTCGAACTCGCAACTTCAAGAGCTTCTAGAGGCAGCAAAACAGAGGCAAAAATTGTCAAAGAGAGGAAAAAGGAGAAACGCTCAATCTTTACAAGGGATTAATAGTGAAAATAAAAGCCAAGATGGCGATAATGTTGAAGAGAACAAGAAAGTTGAAGAGAAAAAGGAAGGGGGTTTGTTAGTGGGCGAAGATGGTTATAGTGAAAGTAGTGAAAGGACGATAAAGAGAAACAAGAGGAAGAGAAAGAGGGAGGAGGGAGAGAGTGAAAAGAAGGGTTTAGAGGAAGATGGGGTAGTGAAGGAGGCAAAGAAGGCAAATAAGAAGAAGAAAAAGAAGAAGAAGAAGAAGAAGGCAAAGTCTGAGGAGGAGAAGGTAAGTGGTAAGGCAGAAGGGGTTGTAGAGGTAGCAAAAGTGGTCGAAGAGAGGTAATTTTTTTAAGCATTCCCTTGTAGCTAAATCGGGCAGTTAGTTCTGCTTGTGTTTGATTATTGGTGCCTATTTTCTTCAAATCAGGTTTTTATGGGTTTTTTTTTTTTTTAATTATTATGGGTGATGTTGGTGTTTATAATGTGTTCAGTAATGCATTGATCAATGTTTTGGATAAATTTCGAGCAGGATTTGGCAATAGGCAGTTGTATTAGGAATGGGACCTGATGCAATCTTTGGTTGGGTTAATTCTCTATCTATCGACATGATGGCTTTTCTGAGTGGTAATTCAGTTTCGTTTTTATGTCTAATGCTTTTGCAGTAAAATAAGTGAGCAGATTGCTGTCAGAGTTTATGTTGGCGGCATTCCATACTATTCAACTGAGGATGACATTCGAAGTTTCTTTGAAGGCTGCGGTACCATAACTGAAGTTGATTGTATGACATTTCCTGACAGCGGGAAGTTTAGGGGAATTGCCATCATTAGTTTCAAGGTATCTACAATCCTCTAAATTTAATTAACACTTATTTCAGCCTAGTTGTACATTTTATTACATTTCAATAATAACTTAAATTTGACTGAAATCCCAACAACGTCATTTCTTGAAGATTTTTTTTTTTTGCTCCTCTTATGTGCTTAAAAACTAAGGAATTTTAAATTTTGATGACTAGCTAACCTGTTTCCTAATAAACTAAGCAATCGCTTTGAATGTAGTCTCTGGTCAAATTACATGAATTTTTGTTCTTAAAACATTAGGAAATGGTGGTTTACTGTGAAGGTACTAAAGGATAAAAAGTGGATGGAATCAGAGCAATGCTAAGACAACTCTTTGATTGGGCAGATTCTAGGAAGGGCACCTAGATGTTAAGATATAATGAAACGAAGTTTCAATATTTTGAACTTAGAAATTTGAAACTTTTATCCTGAACTGAGTTGGTCCGTTTATTGATTTTACTGCAATTCGTCCTTGCAGACTGAAGCTGCTGCCAAACGAGCCTTGGCTCTTGATGGATCTGACATGTGAGTAACTTATAGATAAAATGCTACTTACCTATCCATTATTAGTATTCACCCATTCCTCTCATCATGATGCTCATTAGACTTGTAATATTTTTCAGGGGCGGATTTTGTCAGAAAATCCAGCCTTGCGAGACAACTATCCATTATTAAACTTGTAATACTTACGTTTCCATTATTAGTATTCAACCTTTCCTCCCATCATGCTCATTAAACTTGCAATTCGTTTCAGGGGTGGATTTTATCTGAAAATTCAGCCTTACAAGACAACTAGAGCCCACAAGGAACCCAATTTTGCACCAGGAATTGTGGAGGGTTACAACAGGATCTATGTTGGAAATTTGTCTTGGGATATAACGGAAGATGACCTGAAGAAATTTTTCTCAGATTGCAAAATATCATCTATACGTTTTGGCATGGACAAGGAAACAGGGGAATTCCGCGGTTATGGCCATGTAGATTTTTCTGACAATGCCTCACTGATGAAAGCACTAAAGTTGGACCAGCAGATTGTCTGTGGGAGACCCATCAAGATAAGTTGTGCGGTTCCAAAGAAGGGAGCAAAACTCCAGGAAACCAAAAACCAATTAGTTGAAGAAGCAAAAATTCAATCAGCTGCCCTGCCTATGGCTACAATTGAGGAAGTTAATAATGGTGTGCCAAGCACTAGCAGTGGTAAGATAAGGAGGAGGACCTGCTACGAGTGTGGTGAAAAGGGGCATATTTCTACGGCTTGTCCAAAGAAGCAAACTGCTGATCCAACAGATTCCAATACAAGTTAAATAAGTGGGAATTTTTTTATAATTTGTTTTTCTTTTCTGATCTACTCAGCTAGGCAAAGAGTTCTACTTGTTTTTCATCTTTGTTGGAATCTCTTTGATTTCACATCTGTTTTGGACCAGTCATAGGAGCTAGCTGTTTCATTTTTGTATTCCAAGTTAATCTGTTAAATCAGTAGAGTTGAATGCAGTGGATTATTACTCAAATTTTCTTAAATTCAAAATCAAAATCCGTTGCTCATTCTGGGCGCTGCATGGAAGGTCCTTCCTCTGTTTCTTGACTACCTATAAGGTTGTAATTGGTTAGATCTAATGTCAGTTGAATTCGGCCTCGTTGAAGAGGAATAGCAGAGAACCTTAGCATTTCTGTGTTCTGGCAGGAAGCATCAGAAACTCTGGCTCGATCCTCAATACTCTGCAGGTTGATTTTATTAATACGTAAGCAGTTCTCCGTCTTCAACGTGAACTTATTTTTTATGGTCTTGAAAATAGGCTTCTGTCTACCGTGAGAATAAATGTACTACAAGTACACCAATTTTTAATTTTTTTTCCACTCAAGTATATGAATTTTATTTAATGTTTTGTTTGAGTATATGAACATTTTTAAAATTGACAATCGATTACTCTCGTCAATTCTTTTGTAAGCGATGGGTTTCCCTTACTTTTAAAATATCAAATCACAATTTTGACTTTCTTTTCCTTATTAAATAAGTGCATAAACTTTTTTTTTTTTTTTTGGAGTATATTGATTTTTTCAAAACTAACAATCAAATATTTTCGTCAATTTTTTTTATTCATTGACGAAGTGTCCGTTACTTTTAAAATATCAAATTATAAAATTATCTTCTTTTTTGTTGGAAAAAACTATTTTCTCAAATTATTTTACCATTTCAAAATTTAACAAAGATAAAATCTTGAACTAAAATCGGGTTTAAACATGAAAGTTGAAAACAAATACAAACTTAAGATTTTTCATGAAAAAGATTCATTACTTATGAGCATTTAGAGAAAAAATTCCCTCCAATAAAAATAAAATAAAGTTATAATTGGTATTATTGGGATAACGAGTATGTCATTAGTTAACATGAAAAATTAATAAAAGTACCTGATTAGTAATTTTTTAAAAATTGATGTATTCAAATTGAAAAAAATTAAAATTTATATATTTGATTGAGGAAAAATAAGGTAAAATTATAATTTGATATCGTGGAGATAACGGACACGTCATCGGTTAATAAAGAAATTGACATAAGTATTTGATTGGTGATTTTAAAAAATTTGAAGTACACAAATAAAAAAAAATTAAAATTCATATACTCAATCGAAAAAAAAAATGATATACTTTTAGTGTGATTATTCCATTTATTGTGTGTAATCAAGCGAAAGAAGTGACCTGCAGCGTCCCACCTCCTGCACGTTTGGCTTTCTAAACCCCTCCTACATATTTGCAAAAACCTGATATGGTTGGAGCAAAAACAGCGGCATTAGGTGCTAAGAAAACTAGCATGAGGTTTGCAAGGACGTTTAAGCTACATAGGAAAGATTTCTTGCTTGGAGCTAGGAGATTCTACATTGGCCCCCCAAGGTCCAGACTTTTCGGTTTGGAAATTGTAGTAAATTGTCAAATTTTGTTGTCCCTCTGAATAGCAACTCATGGTTTCACGGGCTAGGCTTTGACTTGTGAATATCGAAAATGGAGATTTTGTCTTGAAGTTCAATTGGTCCGTGAGCAGATTGCAAGGGATAGTGTGCTTGGGAAATATTTTTAACACTAGGCCCTAAATTTAATGACTGATTGTCTCGTGAATTTGCTCTATAAATATCCATTTGTTATCCACAGACTTACCTGATTCTAGTGGCATCTACAGATCATCAAACAGCATTGAGGTTAATGCAACTTCTATTGTTATTCTCATCCCTGTTTGCTAGCAGTAGCCAGTAGGTGTAATTGTCTCTATCCAAGATTCCAAGCCCTTCGAGGTACACAGACTTCCATTCTTTCCTCTAAATTGTTCCCTTTATTAAAGCAAGGCCGATACATCTCTCTTTGCCCCCCAAAATTGTCAAAACCTCTAGTATTCATAAGTCGAAACCATTGAATATCACAGACTGATCAATAACTCCTCTCCATCTTTATATCAACTTCTGTTGGTGCCTAAACGTTTCAACTGGCAGAGTCGCGTCTCTCGATACCCATAATGGCCACCAATTCCACAGATAGAAGAGAGTTACCGATGCGAAAGATGTATCAAGACAGAGGAAATAGTCCGGAACGAACCAAGATGTTGATCCTACCAAAACCAAAAGCTGAGCAGAAAGTAGCTGTTGTTTACTACCTCACACGGAATGGCCAGTTTGAGCACCCCCATTTCATGGAAGTACCTCTCTCTTCTCCCCAAGGACTTCAACTCAAAGGTACTACATCCATTCTTAGAAAAAGATACACAAGCACACATGCATGTATAGATGTATCTATGGAGAAATTTTTTCCTTGAAAATTTGGAAGTTGAAGATCCCATTAGCACAATAAAATTGAATATAGTACTACTGCTATGTGTTTTTTGTATGAATATAAATATAATTCCACCCATATTTTTCAGATGTGACAGATTGGCTAAACCATCTCCGAGGTCAAGGCATGGCTAGCATGTATTCCTGGTCCTCTAAAAGGTAAATTGATTATTCTTTCAATTATTCTCAGTTCGTTTTTTTTCTTTTTTTTTTAAGAAAAAAAAACTTACAACTATATTGATGTGTCAGACTTTCACTTCTCTTGGTTGCCTTCATTTCCCAGTAATAATATATGCTTGTATTATTCTTTTTGTTTTTAGGAGGTACAAAAATGGATTTGTGTGGCAGGACTTGTCCGAAACTGACTATATACAACCCTGTCATGGCCATGAATACATCCTCAAAGGATCATTACTGTTAGAAACTTCTCTAAGCTTTCGGTCATACGACACAACATCTTCCAGAACCTCCAAAGTTTTCTCGGACATAATTAGCAGCTCAAGCGAGGACTCAAATTCTCCAGTTATAAGAAGGAAAAATCGTTCATGGACTACATTTGATGACCTTGATGAATACAAAGTTTACAAGGCCAAAATCACTGGAGAAATTGGCAGCAAAGGTGCTTCTAATGTGTCAACACAGACAGACGATAAGAGAAGGGTGAAAATTGATGGCACTAAAGAAAAGGGGCACAAAGGACTTGGCACAGTAGAGATAAGTAAGGAGGAGGCTTCTAATCTATCTTTAAAGTCTAGTTCTAAAGCCCTTGAGAGCTTCGAAAGGTCTATGGAGGAAAATGGTTCGTGGAGGACTACTAAATATGAGACAGTAGAAAATGATTGTCCAAGTGGAAGAATGAAGCCCTCCATGGTTCTGATGAAATTGATAGGATGTGGATCAAAGAGGTTCTCAAATAAGGACTAATGGCTTGCAATTTTTTTCCCTTTTTTCTCTTATCTTAATCACCAATGTATTTTCTATTCAAGTTTTACACATTAAAACTAGAGAAATGATAAAATTTACGGAAGTATCTTTTTCGAATTCACTACAAATAGTCTTATGTGTTGAAAAAAATACATCTTATTAATTAATCGATCAATTAAATCGTTGAATTTTTTTTCGGAAATGAACTCGAAGGAAGAAATTTGAATAAGATTAGCATTATTCTTAAAACTAAGTTCCTTCCATTGAAGTCTGTCTTAAAAATGCACAATCAATTTTTTTATTTTAAAAAAAGAAAAAAGTAGGCTGTTTTTTCCTAGCATGACAAGAAATAAGTGGATTTAATTAAAAAGGCCAAAGCCCAATAACAAGCCATTTACAAGGCCCGGGGTCAATTTGGGTGCGGAACTAGCGGCTAACAAAGACAGGGTTCAGCATCTCTGTATAGAGTAAAAAGAGGAAGCCCAGCCCATACAACCTTCCTCCCAAACCAAGGGAAAACTCACCCAACTCTGAGGCGGGGCATTTATTTACACGTGTAGTTATTTGTTTTAGTCAGATTTTATGTCATTTGAAGTCATTTAATGCCAGGTGTTAACGAAAATAAAGGGCCTGAGTAGAGAAACAAAGACAATAATTACCTGCCTTTTGGCCTAAAGCTCCGGAACTCTAAATTTGTTAGCTACTACTCTATCTGTATATAATTTATATTTTCACTACTTCTTCGTATGGATTATTGTTGCATAAATTCCTGGTTTTTTATGCCACAGTTTCCTCGTTTCTTCATGCTTTATTCGTGAATAAGGTGCATGCAATTTTTTATATATTCATTATGCTTTTCGAAAATCCATGTGCAAGTGAGGAATTTTTTACGGTCATTTCGTTTCCTTTCTTATCGAATTACTTTCTGGTTCTTTAATTTGTCAAATAAAGAAGAAGAAAAAAGTGCAAAAGATTCGTCTTCTCTAAACCAAGGAAAATTCGACAGTTATTTACCTCGTATTATATATTTCAAACTCAAATTAATTTGGCCCGTCTTTGTAGAAAAACAAGGGCTTCTTGAAGTTTGACAATAACTTGTCGTTTTCAAAGTCCTCCGAAGACCTCTTCATGTGTGTCTATATATATATATATATTCAAATTTATTTCTCCATTTTTTTGTTTTCTACTTGAAATCAATTCATTAATAGGGATGGCCCGAAAAAAGGCCAATTAGTTATAAAATAACAAATCAGAAAAACCCCTCAGCTCTCTCGTGGGCTGTGGCCAGCATCATTTTCATTGTGCCCTACTCTCAAGTCCGATTAATCCCTCTATTTGAAATGCCTTGGAAATTAGAGATCCATTAAAATAGCTAAATGCAATTCTTATGGTATTTTCTCCTTGAGAGATTTTTGTTTTGACATTTCAATTCAACAATGAGAGAGTTCTTACTTGCAGAATTCAATGACCATATCAGAATGATTTTTTTTTTAATATGGAACAAGTGGAAAATGGCTTAAGTATATAATTGCATGTTTTTTGAATGATAAAATCAATATATTGGAGACAATGCAACTTACATATTCAAATTCTCAGACATGTATAATTGATTTTTTTTTTTTACCTCAAGTTATCTCACACATTAATCGAAATTAAATTTTGTTACGGGGTGATTTTAAAAACGAATCCGACATTGGTTTAATGCATTTTAAAAATTAAATTAATTATTTTAAAATCTATAAGTTAAATATTACGTTTAAAAATATCACAGCTGCACTTATATCGTAATGTATTAAATTTAGATATGTCACTTAAAAAATTAATTACAAATCTCAAACTAAATGAATCATTTTCTTACCATTTGAACCAACTCAATGAACACGTCATATAATACTATTGTGAGTTTGAGTTACAACAAAACCTTCAAAAAAATAAATTACGTGGCAAGAAGAAAGAAAAGAAAGAAAGAAAAGTACCCTTAAATTCTAATACGTGTATGTTAATTTTGTGCTATAAAGGACGAATAAGTTTTTTAGAAGTTGATTCAAATATTCCAAGCGATCAGTTTTTCTTCTCATCTTATGAAATTGGAGAAATTTTCCTGAGTGGTGTCCAAGTCGATAATTTGCCTAAAACCCAACCCATAATAGATTTAATTTACTTATGTCAGATGGAGCGGAAAATAAAATGATTAAGAAAAAAACATTCTAAAGAATACTCCAAATGATGGGAAAAGAAAAGAAATCAAAACAGGAAAGACAAGTAAAATACAACCAGAGAGAGAGAGAGAGAGAGAGAGAGAGAAAGCAGTGAGTGACGCCTTGTGTTGCTATTGCTCTTTGCTACATTGTCTTTCCTCCAAAACCAAAACCAAAAAGATTTTTAGTCCCCACGTCACACTCTATACTCCAAATTCGGTTCTTTTCTTTCTTTCATCGAAAGCCTTTTCCTTTGCGTCTTCACCATACAACACCACCATCTTTTCTTTACTTCTCTTCCCAGTTTTCACCCCTTCAATATCATTGCATGCTTTGAACAAACACAAAACAACACTAACCCCTTTTTACTTCTCTTTTCGTTGCAGCAATCTCTTATGTTAATTCTTTGAAAAGGCTTGTTTTTGTTGATTTTTCTATCTTTGGTTTCTTTCAACACTCTTTTATGAATGGGACCCATCAGAGGTTTCAAGAGAAGAAAGAAAGCAGAGAAGAAGGTTGACCAAAATGTCTTGGATGCTGCTTCTGCTTCTTCTTCTGCTGGTTCTGCTTCTGCTTCACTGCAGCCCCAATCTCAACGAACTTTAGATTGGTGGGATGATGATTTCTCTAAAAGAATTACTGGTACACGCAACACATTTTTTAAACTTTTGCCATGTCTTTTGCATTTTTATTCCTTTTCTATCTACCTTCGTTTATTGTGGTTGCTCTGTATGTAGCTTTTGATATATCTATCTATCTATTTATATAACGGGGTGCTATTGATTTATGGGCTTGCTGTTCAGTTTTTATTGCATTTGGTGATCTTTTATGACATGGGTCAATTTTAGTTTAAAGCAATTTGGTTTATAATGTTGGCCACTGATGGATATATATTGTGCATTATTTACTAATTGATGTGCTTGTTTGTGTTTAGAATGGATTGCTACTGAATATGTATTTTATTGTTATTTCCTTGTATCGATGTTTTGTTGTGTTGAGCTTTTGTTGTTCTTACATTGATATTGCTTGTTCTGCATTTACTGGTGTCTCTACGTATAGTATTTAGGTTCCTTATTGTTTCTGGCAGAATTTTAGTTCATTGATCATGTCCAGTTCTCAATGGTTAGATTTTTAGTTGCATGGGTGCCACTCTAAACAGGTTCCTATAATGAATAAGGAACGGTCCTCGTTTTCTTCTTCTTCTATTGAGCTTCAGTCTAGTCTTTTCAATGCTCGCAGTCTCAATGTGCGTGCTGGGTTTAGTATTTTGGAGGTTAGGTTTATCTGCTTTTGGCAGGATCAGTGGAAATGGGTCTATCCAGTTCTTACTGACGAGATTGATTCCAAAATTCATGTATGCTTATATACTCTCTTTCGTTACTAAATAACAGCAGCCTAGGATTTATCTCACTCAACCCAAACTTTATTCATTGATGCTCTTGCTTTTTTTTTTTTTTTTGATAATTTGTTGTATCTGTTGAAACGCTGTTCACAATTGCCCCAGTACAGCATGTAGTTGCTTTGGTATCATATAGAGTCTGTAATGCTTGCTTCCACACAAAGCGTCAATTATCCTGTTCAGAAATAGGCATTTTGAAATTCGGATGCTACTTGGTTTATTGTTTTATCTACCAAGAATGCTCCTTTGAGAAGTGAACCTACTTTACTTGCTCAATTAATTTTTAAGTTAAAACTTATCCAATCCCAGCCCCTGCACTAGCCTGCAACTGTTAGAGCAAAGGAGGGTGACTCTGCAACTGACTACATTTTAGAAACAGAAGAAGGCCAAAAGCAAATCTATGTCGAAATTGTGATGCAAACCATAGAGAGAAATTCTTTCTGTTAGGACACAACCTGGATATAGCTAAACTTTGAGTTAGAGGTGGTAAATAAGGTAGTTGGCAATTGCTTAAATACCATAGTTGTGCATTCCGACCTAACAACCACATTCTTGATCCTCAAGGAAAAAGACATTGTTAGATGATGCAATGCTACAAAATAAATTTATGAAGTCTCTTTTATCATGAATACAGCCATAATTGGAAAAAATTACAGCGAAAATATAATGAGCTATGGTATGCACTGCCCTCATAAGATGCATTGATTTACAGTGAAAAGTACCTCTTATTTTTTTCCCGATTTCATGTTTGCAAACAAGAACTGGAATAAGAACGTTGATTGAAGCACTTGTTAAGGGCAAAACAATAACCATGCTTGACCAATAACCAAACCAAGCAAATTTTTGCTGACTGCTTACATATGATCTGTGTTTCTTTGTTCAAATGCTTTATGTGAGGGTGCCCTTCAACAAGGGTCACAATGCTTTCAGTTGACTATCCTGACTGGACTTCTTAAGTTATATACCTGTATCTTTTTGTGAATCATTTCTTCTTATTATTCCACCGACTTTGTGCCCAAGATATCATTTAAGACCAGCCTCATAGGAAAGGCTACTTCTACAGGTGACCTGATGAGGCAGAGAAGATTATGAAGTTCATCACCAACATACTCCTAAATCTGTAGTTAAAGGACATGTATTGCTAACATGTCTAGACTCTAGGTGCATATTAATAATATATTTATCCTTCAATATATCAAGACAGCAGCATTTCAAGTACTTAAAAATTATGTGTATTGAAGTGAGGATACATGTGTCTCCAATCTCTGTTCAGAAGTTTGCTTGGCCCTTGGCACTTGGCAGTATGCATTTTTGGTACGGATATCCAGGTCCACCATAAGCCTCGATATGTCACGATGAATTTTTGAGCATGATGTCAGTGATTTGATAATTTTAAGTACTTGTAACCTTGAATGCCCAGAGTTTAATAGGTGAGATCAATTCACTATGACAAGCTCAATGTTTGGCTGTTACATAGATACTTGTGCATTGAAGCAACTTGCACGTGAACTGAATAAAGTTTGAGTTGCTCTTCTGACTGTAGATGTTTTCTCCTTTATCTGAGTTTATTGCTATACCATGTGTTTGATTTGGCATTTATTGAGCATGCTAGAGGCAGAATATCCCTTCATTTGGCAGACTGGCCTAAGCACCCCATGAATTTATTGTTCTTTTGGAAATTTGATGCATGACGATTGGACAATCCACTTGGATAACTGATTGCTCTATCTCCTATTTTAGGTCCCTTTTCTGAATCAAAGAATTCAAAGAAATTTGAATCTTTTTTCAAAATATCAAGAAAAACATTCAACTATATCTGCTCCCTTGTGAAGGAAGACCTGAGGGCTAGGCAATCAAACTTCACGGGTTCAAATGGGAAGCCATTGTCTGTAACTGATCAAGTAGCTGTTGCTCTGAGGAGGCTCAGCTCTGGCGAATCGTTGTCAAACATTGGCGACTCGTTGGGGATCAACCAATCAACTGTTTCTCAAATAACCTGGCGATTTGTGGAAGCAATGGAAGAAAGAGGCCTGCGCCATCTTCGTTGGCCTTCAACAGAAGCAGAGATGGAAGACATTAAGTCAAATTTTGAGAAAATATGTGGCCTGCCTAATTGTTGTGGTTCAATTGACGCTACCCACATTGTCATGACTCTGCCAACTGTGGACCGATCAAATGATGTCTGGATTGATCGGGAGAAGAACCACAGCATGCTCTTGCAAGCAATAGTGGACCCTGACATGAGATTCCGTGATGTAATTGTTGGGTACCCAGGTAGTTTAAGTGATGCACTTGTGCTTCAGAACTCGAGTTTCTACAAGCTATCTGAGGAAGGGGAAAGGCTAAATGGGAAGAAAATAGAGCTTCAGGAAGGAATGGAATTGGGGGAGTATATAATTGGGGACTCAGGTTTTCCCCTATTGCCATGGCTTCTTACTCCTTATCAAAATGCACTCTCAGACCATCAGGCTGAGTTTAACAAGCGACATTCTGCAACTCTAGTTGTATCACAAATTGCATTAGCAAGGCTGAAGGAAATGTGGAGGATAATCCATGGAGTAATGTGGCTGCCGGATAAGAATAGGTTGCCAAGGATTATTTTTGTTTGCTGCTTGTTGCACAATATTGTTATTGACATGAAGGATAAGGTGCTTGATGAGCTTCCTTCGTGTCATCAGCATGACCCAGATTACCGACAACAAATTTGTGAGACTGCCAACAAGATGGGCATTGTTATCCGAGATAACCTCTCTCTCTACTTTTCTGGAAAATCATCACCCTCAACACTTTCTTCCTAATGAGTGGTGATCATTTTCTGCGACATAGATAGAGCTGGATGCCCTTCGGTTCATTTGCTCAACAAAAGCTCATGTGAATCCTGTGGTGTTAATTCTCATAGGGTAACCAGTTCAAGTTAAATTAAGAAGTTATTAGTTTGGATAATTATTTACATAAACAGTTTTGAATATGTGAAACTATGTTTCAGATAGTTTCTTAAAACTTGCATAATATGATTAAACAACCAGTAATAATAATTAATACATGTTGAATTCCTGCATTCCTGCTTTTTTTTCTTTTTTCTTTTTCCTGATGGATAGCCTTGTCAATGACAACTTATTGTGGTTGCCTACTCATTTGCTTATGTGGGGCGTGGCATCCTATAGTTCTATAGGATACAAATTGCCCAGAAATGCAAGAAGTTTCTTGGACCTCCTGAAAGTTTGTGGAGTTTTCTATTTGATGTTCAAAAGTGATTTAGAACCTTCCCTCTGAATTGGGGTCGAATGCCGTACAAATTTGAGCCTAGTTTGATTGGATATTTGAAGCTTGCACTTGAGACCTGTGCTACTCTGCTATTTATTTGAAGGGGTAAAAGTCCATAAAAATTGAAAATGATCATGGAATAATATTGCTTCCCACAATGTTACATCATCCATGATGACTTTTTTACTAATATCAACAACTTTATCAACTGAAAATTATTACACGAATGTAGTTTATTATGAAATTATTCTTATCAATATGAACAATCTTATTAATTAGAAATTATTACACGAATCTGGTTCATCGTGAACTCATTCGTATAAATTATTATGTGAGATCCACCATTTTACGAGTGTGTAGGTCACTGTCTTTTAGCTGTGCTTAATACTAATAATGACCAAAAGTCCTATTTTGCTCTCCAAGAAAACAAATAAAAGAAAGGGATAAGGGAGGAAGAAGGGAAAATATAAACAAAAACTTCGACAACAATTTATAAAATGTTTAGATCTGTTAAATTTGGACCAAAAGGGCCGAAAGCCCAACGTAGACCCGACCCGAATCGCCGGTTAAATTTGAACTGTAAATTACCAAATCGGAGAGAACCCGAGCCAATCCTCCGACAAGAAACCTCTCCTAAAGAATCTCTAGGGTTTAAGCAATTAGTCTAATGATTAACAAAATGGAAGCGAAGAAACTCCTCAAGGACAAGAAATTATGGTTTGCTTCTTTCTTGATTGCCTGGGCTGCTGCTCTTCAGGTGAAGATCCAACCTCTGCATATGCACATACAAACATCAACTTAGAAACGTGTTTGTCTGTACATATAAAATTCTTTTTGGGTTCTTAGTGAGCTCTTATTGAGCTCTATGGGGTTCAATTTATTAATGGGTTTTTGTTTTTTTGGGTGTTGAAGGGTCACATGATGTGGTTACAGAGACAGGACACTTTCAAGCAGAAGTTTGGAACACTAAACGAAGATAATACTGATGTTGCACAAGAGTGACCCGCAATTAATTGGTTTTCGTTTTTTTTTTCCCTAGAAATTTGAAGGTCAAATAATTTGTGTCTGTAAAGAAACAGGGAATGGTCGAATTTCGAATTTTGCTCCACTGGGTGGCAATGTAGTTTTGTGGCATATGTAATCTGGTTGTTGAATAACATTGATATATATGAACTTGCGGTTAGTTATGTGTTGAAATTTTGCAAATTAGAGGACTCTTCTTTCAGAGTGGGAGATGATGTAAATTAAGGAAATGACAATGCTCTGTATCTTGATTAGTTCTAATAAGAAGCAATTGAATTCTTGAAGTTGATTGAATTCTCTGATTTTTAGTAGTCGTTTTCTGATAACATGTTTTGCAGGTTTTGTCTTGCTATAATTTTTCTGTTGACATTAGTTTCATTTAGTGGATTTAGAATGTCAAAATGCATAATCAAATGAGTTGCCGTAATTGACGTTGAATTTTGATTCATTGGAAAATGTTTCGTAGATTTTGAAGGGGTGATCAAGCTGCAAGTAAGCATCTTGTCTTTATGGAATATGCCTTTTCTTCAAAAGTGTTTTAACTGTTTGTAGAAAATTGTATGAATGCAATTCATAGTTTAGTTGAGTTTGAGCTCTTTACTTGTGAGTGACAAGTGGAATCTGGAGTTGTTAATTAAATAGAATTAATAGATGGGAGTTTGAATTAATGTGGTTGTTTTCTCATTGGTGTTCATGAGGAGATCTGTGGGCTCTGAGGTTTTATTCATGGATTGACGTAGATGTGTGACCGTGTGGGTCTAAAGATGCAGCTTGTGATGGAGTAGCTTTTATTTTCTTTCTCATCGACTGTTTAGAATGATCTTCTTTGATTGCTTTCTAATACAGGAGTGGTTACAAAGTGGATAATTATTAAAATATTGCAGCACTCTGGTGTTGTTGCAAAGGTACTAGAACTCACTGAGACTAGTTCTAGATTTCATCTTTTATATCCCAATTATTCAAATCCTTGGAAAATGGTCTCTGACTCTACAGTGCTGGAAGTGGTAAGAGCTGTCATATAATTTTAATCAAACTTTAGGCACAATTTTGATTCTGTGTCAAAGATATTTGGGTATGAAGAAAAAAGTTCAGCAATTATTTCAGAACTGTCAGCCAAAAAAGGCCATTAACTATGACAGGAAATTCAGCCTGTTAGTTTATACTTACACAAAACCATGCATCATTAGCATATGTAAGCCTTGATTATTGTTGGGATTTGGCAGCCTAACATTACCTTTTGTTTTGTTGTTTCAAGCCGGAGTCAAATTGGAGAATGGAGGAATAAAATTTCAGAATTAGTTAGTTCTGATGCATCTAATCCATCATTGGGTCTTAATGTCTGAGTCTAGACCTAAATGGAAGTTACTTGAGGAATTGCATCTGCAAACCTGTTCTTTCACTTGTGGCTGGTGAATATAATTTATGTCTTGATCACTAGATAGTTCGGGTTGGTTACTGAACTTTCTTTCTCTGTTTTATTTTGTCCAGAGCCAAGCTTCTTTTGTGAGCTTTGATTCTATTTTATTCCCAAATGCTTGAGCACCGAAATCTGCATGCCATGATAGCTACCTTGCATGCATTAAGTAATCAAGTTATTTCCTGAAGACCGTAAATAGAAACAAGATTAGCTTTTGCAACTTTGTTATGTTCCGCCTTTTTAGGCCGCTGTTTTGCTTTTTCCATGTGTGTTATAGTTCGATAGCTAAGTGACCTTCCTGGAGGCTATAAGCTCCTGAAGACCCTAGATGGGAATAGAATTTTCCATTAAAATATTTCTTCGTGATTTAGAAGTTATTTTCTCATTGGCAGATAAGAGCCAGAGGTGTGGTGGAACTGTGGAAAGCCAGAGTGCTTGCGAAGAACCCTGTACAACGAGAAAGTTGAAAGTATTACCTTGGGTAAGTTCTCATAAACCACATTGTTATCACTAAATGTAACCCTTCTGTTCCTGGTTCAACTTCTTAGAATATGAGCACCAAAAAGGAAAAAACTTGTTTGAATATGGAGCTGGGTGGCTGCTAATTTAAATATCTTTTTACAACAACCTGTATGATGTTTTATTGCAAGTTATTATAATGCCCTTCTTCCATTTTTGACTTAGTGCTTCATGAATGCAAGCCCCCTTGTTTCTACCGTGACAATTTGATTCATGGGGCACCTGCAAACCCAAGGCGGTAAATATATATTGTTCTTGCTGGTTGCTAGTTGCTAGTGTAGTCAGTATAGAGAATTAATTAGGGATTAAACAATGAAAAATGTGAATCACCCTGATTAAATAACGCACTATTTTGTGGTTGCTAGTCTAGTCACCATCTTATTCAAAGTCAATACTCCTCTAACCAGCAGTTTGTGAATTATAACCAGCCCGATCATTCCCGGTAACACTTCCGTTGAACATTTTGCTGACTTTAAAGGCATTTCTTTGACTTCTCAAATGATTTCTTGTTATGCTATTAAGTCTATCTCTTTCTTTATTTGATTCTATGATACAATTTGTATGTGGAATTGGAAAAAACAATTGCCCTAGACAATGACACAATACTACACTTAGTGTGGTGGCTTTGTGTTTTACACGCCCACACCACAAGCTAGATTTCTTGCAACCTCGGCAACTAAACAGAAAATTATATATCAAAACGTCACCACTTGATCTCGTATGCCGTTGCGTTGTTTAATATATTAATTAATCCTATCATATCGTTTCAAGGTAGGTGTAAGCACTGACTTGTATATTCATCAAAATGATAATTCAGGTTTGAACTCGGAGTTTGCTGCATATGACTTTCGCTTATTTTTGCAATTATTTCTTTCTTTCACGTCATGTTTGTGCTTTTTTTTCGCCCTAGATATGTACAAGTACGCGTGTAACACATATCACTGCTGATTTCCTTCAAAAAATATTGGAGTGCACATTTCACACCATTAGTCTCTTTTTTTCCCTCTCTCTCTAGTTGAATCCGTTGTCTTCATTATTAAAACAATAATAGATAATTCTTATTTTGACATTTTGGATGATGATCAACTCTATGGTATTTAATCAGCCCCGCAAATCAACCGGTTACTTGAAATTATATTCATGGTTACGTTTTATATTATTTTGTATTGCTTGTAGTAGTTTTTTATTAGGTAGTTTGCAAGAGGGGGACTCTCGCTCGCAAATTTTTTCATTTTAAGGATGAGAAGAATATGAACTGAAATTCTCCTTGAATGAGTTAGTTAACATGCACTAAAATGTGTGAATACACACCTTTGAATTCAATTTGGACGTAATCCTTATTCCCAATTCGAATCTTATATGCACTACAATGGGGAAGTGACTTTGGCGGTTGGGATTTGACTAGGGAAGCAAAACACGGATAACGAAGCGCATGGGATCTTTTGCCTGGAAAATTTCAAACCAAAATACCCAAGAATTTTTCGTGTGTTTCAGATTGCGATCGTTCTCAGCTAGCCGATTATCTACACCTACTACCTCTCCATGTCCTGGAAATGACTAGTGTTTGAAAGAGCTTTGCTTGCTTTAATGCCAAGAGGCAAGTCTTTGTAGAAAGTTATGCAAGTGTGTCAATGTTTATGTAGCTCACTTTGGGGTGAAATTTCTTGCAGTGAACCTTTTGGACCACAGGAATTGCCGTCAATTTTAACCAATTTTTGGGGTGCGGCAGGCGGAAACTGGTCCCATATGTAGAAATTTGGTATCCCTTTTGTTGCTCTCTTGACGCTTTTATGCGAGAAATATCCCTTGGAATAATTAATGGCTAAGCTTTTCCAGAACAAATATAAGCCTTTATTTATTGTTTTTTGGATCCAGTGACACTGTAACAAACGAAAAATTTTCTCGCTTAAAGAGTAACTACCAATTATAGAAGAGAAATAGAGACAAAGAAAAAAATATATAAGAGAGAATTCAAAAAATAAAAAGTCTAAATGGAAATATTTATTACTTTTAGTTGGATCGAATGTTATTTTTTCTTTTGTTTTTGTATCTATCTTTCTTTTTAACATTTTTCTATAAAATAAGTATTGATAGTTACGTTTTAAATATTTTAAATTTTTTCATAAAAACTGATTTTTTTTTCACCAGCTTAATCAATATATTGTCTGATTAAACATTACATTAAAATCGTTTATCATAACCAAACTAGATTTTGATCTGATTATAAAAATCACAAGTCATCGATTCTCCAATGAAACTGATCATGATTCATGGTTGAACTAAAAGGTTATTTAACATGATTTTATTTTGAAAAATTATAAAAATTTTCTACAAAATAAATTGAATTTTTTTTCAATATGTGTGTAAAATTTTAGGTCAAAATACCAAGAATTAATTTTTATTTTTTTTTGAGGAATATAATAGCTAAAAATTATCAGATTAACTTTTCTTAAAAAAATTAAAAGTTCAAAGATCTCTAAATCAATAAAAATGTTTAAAGATTCAACCTCAAATGATTTTAAGTTCAGAAATAGTTTAGCCAAATTTATATATTTACTGAAGCATTGATACAGTATATGAGTTGCGGAGGTACGGTGTTCGGCTCCTTGTAGCTTTATGCTTTAAAAAAAACAAAAAAATAAAAATTGAGTAACATGTCACTTGCCAAATATAATCGGTTGAAGCTGGGTTTTGGTAGGTTCACTCACATGAGTAGACGGTTTTTCGTCTAATTTGGAAGAATTTATATGGGTAGATCTCAAAGTAACCCAAAAAATTCATTTTCTTTACCATTAAAATTATTTCTTAACCTCACAATTTGGGTGATGATCTTATTTTTATATTTAGTTGCAGTGAACATTAAAATTTTAATCCTATGAATGGTTTGAATTTATTCAAAAGAAAAAAATAACATTTCTTTTGTTTTAGGCAACACATGAAAGTAACATTTAATCCCAAATTTATACAATAATAGCACATTATTGATACCAATTAATTAATTCGAGCAACACTTGTTGATAAAACATCAGATATCAACTAATAAAATTAACGAGTTGGTCCCTAAACAAAATTCTTGTCACTATACAATATTTATATTCTAAAATTGCACTTGTTGAAAGGAATTAAACTTTTTCTTTTCTATCTCGAATAAAATTAATTGTATTTTTAGTGTGAGATGAAAATATCTACGGGGAAAAAAAGATATTATGCAAGTTTTTATGATTAGTTTAAACCCCATTTTTATTTTAGGCTCATTGGGAGGTTTAATAGGCTTTAGACGGTACTGAAAATCTTCAACAAAAGATATTCCAAATGCTAATTATTTTGTTGTCCCTTTCGAGACTAATACAACGTAAATAGGGATGACAATGAGTCAGGTATAAAACAGATATTTGCTTTATCCGATATAATAAATGTCTATTAAAAATATCTAATGGGAATCGAAGTGGGTAAGGATAAACTTTGCATACTCACTACTATGATTCCATGACATGATTTTTCACTTTTTATCCTATTAATAACCACTATTTTTTTTTATTAACCTATAGAGATCTAATTGCATAAAATTTAAAAATTAAAAACCAAAATATTTTTTCAAAACCTCTGTGGACCAAAAAAACTTATAAATAAATGGCCCAAATGCAATAAATAAATAAATAAAAATTTAAGGACCAATTTTTTTTTTTAGAAAGTTATAAGAAATAAAATGAAATATTTTTTATAAATTAATTTTAGTAATATTAAATATATTAAATGGATGAATAAACTAATGTTAGTCGGATATAAGTCTGGGTAAAAATTAGATGATGATTTTTATACATAATAAATATGATATTTTTTTTATAAATAGAATAAAAAATTAAATTAATGGACTCAATATCTTTTCATTGCTATCTCTAAACGCAAGTAAGGTTTAAGTGGTTAAGATAATGGTTCGAGTTTATTAAACCGTGGTTTCCTATGAGCCGATGGAGCTCTGTTTGGACACAAATAGTAAACTTTCCATGCACGCTGCAAGACTCGATCTTGAGTAGTGTCAATAATGACGATCGTGACGGCTAACAATATTGACGTCGCTTTGTGATGACAACAAATCTAATTTTAATCCCATTTAGTCTTCAACAAAGTCAGTACTACTTAATTATACCTTATTTGTTAAGTTAATTAGCTACCCGGCCCTCCCTCTCTCCACTAGTAACCAAGAAGAGTAGTCGTTTTCCCACTTCGGACAAAAAACAACAGCGGATTCGTTGGTAGAAACTGATATAATGATACGATGTGGACTAATAAGTATATTTCTTCACTAATTAATTTCTATTCAATTTTCCTAATCCAACAAATCTAACTTAATTATGTATCAATGTGAAAGGTAGGTTTGGGTTACTTGTTTAGAAAAACTAATAATGTCTTGTCATATTGCAAGGTGAAATAGGAAGGTCTTCATAAACATTTTTCTATGAAATTTTCCAAGTCCAACCAATGGATTAATTTGTTGGCGTTTTTATGGTTCAACCGATTTTATCTATGGTCAAAACTTCAATAAAAATCAACTCTATTTATTAAGTCACCAACGTTTGTGTGTACAATCTTCCCAATTGCTTCAAAATCTTTTTATATATAAAAAAAAAAAATGCTGTGTGAAGACTACATAGAACAAGTGACCAAATTAAAAAGACTTTCCAAGTTAGAGCTATGAGGAGAAAAAAAATAAAGTGTGTATTGAACCGCACGGCATTGCAAATTGGAAATCATGCACACTAGTAGTTTACTTCTAGAACCGTGGCCTGGAAGAAATTAAAGTGCTTGACGTGTATTATAGGCATGCCAATGCAAGAAGATCTGATCTCGTGACATTAATTGATAACAACCATAAAGGGATCGTAGGTGGAGACTTCAGTTTTAAAGTTTTTGTTTCTACATTTGGTTTACATGTTGGAATATGCACCTTATTTTTCCTAAAATATTATGTGTGCATGTGCATATATATATATATATATATATATATATATATATATATATATATATATATTGATCTTGTCATCTAAAGAAGTAGAAGAGAAATGTATATTGGAAACACTTGAGTTGATTTGTGGTCAAATATTTTATTTTTTCTAATAAAATGTCCAAGTTCAAATTTTCCTCTCTTGAAAAATAAAAGAGGAAGTGCATGTATATACACTGGATAAACTTTGACAAAAAAATGGAGGAATAATATTAATCCAGAACTCGTTCAAGTACTGCAGTTGGTTTAATTGGCTCTGGCTGGCCACTGTAGAAGTCAATTTTTTGTGCTATTAAACGCGTACAAACAAGTAGAAAAGCTAATAACACGTACATTCTGAGTTTTCATAACCAGACAGTGGCTGACTAGCAACTTTTTCCTAGTTGTGAACTTTTTGAGCATTGTATATTTAACCAGTCCTCGTGCCCCTTAAAACAATGATTTCAATATTGTGGAAACCTTCAAGGTGAAACGATTAATTTATTTTTTATTAAAAACTTAATTTATAATTTAGAATATTACACCTCATAGATTTAATACTTAAATCATTGCTGAGTAAATCATTTGCGATAAATACATATAATATTAAGAAAACTAATTATAATTATGTATGATTTTTTTTTTTTTTTGCTAAGATAAGGGATAATTGCAACATTTTCAGCATAAAAAGGCTATTGAAAAATAAATCAAAATCCAAAATCAAATTACTTCATCCTTAATTTATATAAATGAATATATATTTTTTTCTATTTTAATATAAGTGATAATTGCAACAATTACAGCATAAAAAGACTATTGAAAATAAATGAAAATCCAAAATTAAAGTACTTCATCCTTAAATTGATGCAAAAATCTATATATTGATTAAACCTTATAAATAATCACTAACATTCGAAGAATCAAAACCATCAAAACACAATGTACTGACTTGAAATAAAATTTAATAATCATTCATGTTGAAACATGACACTTTAGGATTAATATAGCATTTTCTTTTCAATATTTATTAGACTTTATAGATTTGATTTTTTTTTTTCGGAACAATGGGTTAGTCCATCAGGCCTCGAGCTATTTATTGATGGTTGGAAGAACTTAATCTGACAACTATTGGTTCACATGGCTTTTCAGAAAAAAAACAATGGTTTAAATTCTTATCAAACAGATGAGAATAAAAGAAATATTATCAATAATCAAAAGTAGCATAATAAAAATTAGAAAGGTAACCGTTCAGTTCCTTGCACTCTTAGCTATTCATTTTTAATATGTGTTGTAATTATTAATGCACTAATTAAATTTTCAAGGAGGAACCTATTTAATTTCTACATGGATTAAAAAAAAAAAAAAAACTTATTGAATGATGTGTTGCCAAATTCCCATATACATATATGCAAACTAACTCTATTTAAAAAATAAATAAAATGATATCCTTACTCTCACAAACTCGTTTATGCACAATTTCTTTTAGAGAAAGAGAAGTTTTGTTTGCATCTAAATGAATTTTAAATGATACATACTATGAATTTTCAAGAAAAAACAAGCAATTGCATTTCTACATCAATCTCGTTGTTTGAGTTTTTATTGTGAATCGTTAAAATTGATTTGATTTTATGAATTTTTTTTTCATTAGAGAATTGAAAAAAGAAGAAGAAGAAGATGGATGAATATAAACGTTTCAGAATTTGAAATTTGAAGCAATTCTTCATGCTAATTTAGGTTAGGGATTTGCTTTGGAGAGAGAAAATCTACAACTACATTCTATTGCTTATTTTGTTATTTCTAAAGATGTTTTACGGTGGTTTTGTGATAATTTGATAAATTTAATCTATAATCCATCACCTTTTTAAAATTTTTTAAAGACATGGCTCGAAATATATATATTTTTTAATACGTATGGCAAAATATAATGTTGTTTTATTATTTGTTTTATGTGGCACAATTACATTAAATACCAAGTATGTAACTGTCTTCTAAATTTTAATTTAATCATAATATTTAATATATCCACATAACCATATCATGTTTCACTATATATATATATATATATATAACGCAAGTTACAGAAAGAAAAAACATGCAACTCTTTAATAAGTTTAAAATCAATACTTTTAATAGGTTTTATATTAATAAATGAGGTTTTTAGTGTGTGATATATAACTTATTTATTAATTATTTTTATGTAATTAAACGACAATCTATAAAGAAAAAAATGCCACCTGTTAGAAAAAAAGTGAGGCGGTCATTTTTCGTCAACTTAATATACACATGCTATATATAAAGGAGTATATAGATTATATCGATCTTGTTAAACTACCGTACAACAAATTTTTGTAGTCATCTTTTTTTTTTTTTTTCAAAGCAAACAATATTCCCAACATCAAAAAATCCCACCCCATTCAAATTTTCTTTTCCAACAAAAAGTCTGGTTCTCAGAAACTAGCTAACAACCCACAACTACTTCATTTGTTGCTGAAAATGAGGGATTTATATATAGACTTCTTTATTACGCAGTACAATCCAGACTCTTACCGTCCACCCCAAAAAAAAAAAAAAAAAAAAATGGTACAATCCAGACTTTGACCCTTCTTATTAGATTCTCTTTAATGTGTTGGACCCACCCTTATTTAGCAACCTTAAATATATATATATAAATTAAAGTCACGTAAAGATAACATAATACTTTGTACATATATATCTTCTACTTCAAAGTTCGAAAGAGAAATTTAACTTCTTCACTACGAAGTTAAAATTAACATTGGTCGAAATTTATTAGCTTGCGTGACTTCTGTTTGTAACCCAAGTCGTATTCCATGCGTCACGTAGGCATCCAAATTCAGAACTCATTTATTACGCACAAAAAACCCCAATCCATATCTTCTTTTTTAGGATAAAGTTACACATCTACGTACTACTACCATACATGACTTCTATGTAAATTTATGAATATGTTATACATTTCTCTGTTCGCTTTCTAGGTGGCGTGATGAGGCAATCATGCATGCCTTTTCACTTCCTCGTTTTCAGACCATGAGAAATTAAAGTTTAATATTACTTAATTAATTTATGTAATCATGAAAAATAATTGTATTAATTGATATCAATCTAACTTGTAACCATTGGTTTATAACTCATTAATAGTGCATTCTCAAGTTCAAATCTCATTTTTATTAATTAATCATTAATTTTAAAAATTAAGCACCAGCTTATAGATAATAAAAAATTGGAAAATTGATTGCAAGTTGTGAACCTTTTTTTTTTCCTCTCTTAATGTGAATACCCAATGATTAAATATATATGATCACCACTTGCCGAAATTTTTGTGTTAATTGGTCCAAAAAGTCCAGCCCGAATTTTTCTACTCACTAGCCCTGCTGGTTCCTCTTTCATACTACTAGCAGACCAAACCTGAGAGAATCTTCTAGAAAAATGATGATTCTAGGAAGGACTCACTTACTCATGACTCGTTCTCTGGTCTACCATTGGCTCATCCTCTCAGTCACGCTTACGTGCTAATAGCCGGCTCATTTTTACAATTAATCAACCCTCTTTTCGAAGTTCTTATTATTTTTTTACTCCCCATCTCTCCTTCCCTTTCGTATCCATCGAGTACAAGGGCAAAAATGCCATTCCAAATAAAGTCAACTATAAAAGTCAAAGATATAGTTGTACCACTTACACAAGTTACGCAAACCAAACCAGCTTATAAATACCAAACCGATAGGACACCTACATAGTTCCATTATTTCTCTCTTCTAAAGCAAATCCGATATCCTTTCACATTTGAAGCCAAAGTATAACAAAACCCTTATTTTTCACATTTCCGTACGATGAAGAGAAGTTTGCGTGATAGAGAGCTTGATAGCATAACCATGGCTAATTGCTTGATGTTTCTATCCAAAGGAAGGGAATCGTATTCTTTTCCTTCATTTGATCATCATGCCATGAGCAATAATTCACCTAGTCGAGTTTTTGAGTGCAAAACTTGCAATAGGCAATTCCCATCATTTCAAGCCCTAGGTGGCCACCGTGCAAGTCACAAGAAGCCTAGGTTGATGGGAGGAGAAGGGAGCTTCGAGACTCAATCGCCGGCAAAGCCCAAAACGCACGAGTGCTCTATTTGTGGACTAGAGTTTGCCATCGGGCAAGCTTTGGGTGGTCACATGAGGAGACACAGAGCTGCTTTGAATGATCAAAACCAGGTTGACCCTTTCAGCCCTCCTAGTACCGATCATCAGCAAGTAATTCCTGTCGTGAAGAAATCTAATGGTAGGGGGTATTGTGTTTGGATTTGAATTTGACTCCTTATGAGAATGATATGGAGCTGTTTAAGCTTGGAAAGGCAGCTCCTATGGTTGATTGTTTCTTTTAGATCTTAATTAATTACATGTGTAATCTCATGATGCTATACATACAGCTAGGTTTTTTTTTTTTTTTCCTTTTCCTTTTTTCCTTAATATAGGAACACTTGCTATCCTGTATTTATATATATATTTGTTCATTTGTTTATATACATGCAATAAGAAGCAAGATCATGGTATTAATTTCCTTGTCATTTAATTGCTTAAAATAATCGAGCTTTATTACGTCATCATGAGATAAAGATGAGGTATGACATTATAATTAATCGTGTTGAGTGGTGATTACAATTAATTAAATGACAGGCATTATAATTAATCTTGTATTGAGTGGTGATTACACAATTAAACGACCGGCATTATAATTATAAACTTAAGATATTTAGCTTTGGATTTTACGTATTCATAATTAATTGGAAAGGGATATATAAATTTTACAAGTGTCCAGCAGTACTTTAAATTATTTTGGAATTTCAGATTGGAAAAACTCAAATTAAATCTTTGAAAAAGTGAGAAGACGTTTAGGCGCGGAGGATGATTGTTGCACATGTAGCCTAAAATGAAGCTCTCAAATCCTATGCCTTTAAAAAAGGAAAACACTTATAAACAGAAGTGCAGCTGATATATGACGAGATGAACTAGGTTTTAGCTCGCTTCATGCATGCTCCTACATATTTTGGTTTATGAATATCTTTAGGAAAAATTGTAATTCTCAAAATTAAAGAAACAAAAAGATACAGAGAGATTTGGCTTCTTGATAATTTTTTTCTCTTGCTATGGGATTTTCATGATATTGATTATCTAAACTGGAAACCTTCATTAACAACTTCCAAGTTTTTTTTTCCCTCAAGATACTTAACTTCAAGTCTATTCATACCTAAAATGCATAAATTCAGTGTATATGTGTTTCTTCCCTAGTTTTCCTTTTCGTAATAGATGACTACTGCAAAATCGTGTCAATGACTCATCGTGACTGTTTGTCAAGATTAGGTTCAAATAGGGACTCCAATCAAATAAATGCTTACGAGCTAGGTCAGTAGTTGGCGAGCTCCTAACTTAAACTTTAGAATGAATTTAAGATTGCTAGAGCTGCTAAAAGGCTATCAGGAGCTCGTGTTGATGATCTGCTTTCAATTTAAGTTTCCATTTGACAGTGTTGTTTTTCAAAATCTTTCTAGTTAACTGGTCCAGTGCTCCTGATTTTATAGCCTTGCTGCCCTTTTTAAACCACGGTTTGTTTCAAATTTCTAAATGATAAAAATGAATCAATTCATCATAACATTAATTAAGTTTCAGCTTATATAGCCTAGCCTCTTTTATGGTCAATCCGTTTCAATTTTTTTTATATATATATAATTAATGACATGAATCATTTTTACAGAAAATAAATTTTAAGTTCGGTATATGTATATATATATATATATTTTGGATCACTACATCAAATGGCAGCAGCGTGTTTTTGAATGTTGTTGGCTTGAGAAATGTTGCAATCACAAATAGATCTAGTCAATGCTTGAAAAGAAAAAACATGAAATATAATTAAAAGAAAAAAGAGCTTCTAGCACCATCAATCAATTAAATCAATTGCACCTGATTGCTTTCAAACTTATTCAAATACGTTTCCGCAAATTAAATAGAAAAAACATCATACAATATTTATGTCAGAAAATAACAAAAATTAGCACCATATATTGCACATGGCATCATCAAAACTTAGATCTGAAAAAACTGTAAGTGGATGGGCTTGACAATGTTTGAGATTCAAATGGTTAAGCTCTCAACGGAAAACAGGGAAAATATAACCTTGTGGCTTAGTCAATCCACTTAGTTTTTTGAGTTGGCCCATTTATTGAATAGTCTCGCATACAATCGAGTTTGCATGCGACTTTTAAAACGTTTCTCCGTCCTTAAAAGGACAAGATGCCCGCACAATTTAAACTTTTTTAAATCCGAAAATCGAACAAAAATATAAGGCTCCCTGGCACGCCTGTTATAATTTTTACTGTCCAAAAACCAATTTAGTCTTAAAATAAGAAATAATTAGTTACGCTAAAAGATGCGGTCGATTAGTACGGCAAGAACAACCCAGTAAGAAGGGATTTTTGTTTTTTTTTTTGAGTTTTTAAGCTTTTCTCCGTACTATACATTTTGATGCATGGTTGTCGTCTTCTTTTGAATCTAGCATGCTTTTTGAAAAGATTAAAATTGTAATGTCTGTAATATGTGGATTAACTTGGCAATGTTGTGTCTTATTGGTGTTGGTATAATATCTATTTTTGGTATAAAAGCTACATGCTAATATCTGACAGTTTAAGAAAAAGATTTACGCTGTTTGAGAAATTGCTACTTGGACCTTATTTTTATGAGATTTTGTTGTGGTTGTTCTAGCCTCCTAGCTAGGTATTGCCTCTTCCTTTTATTTGCAGCTTATTACTTTTTTTTTTGTTATATAAAAAAAATATTTATGCTTCATAATTTTGTGATTGCACAAGTCTTTAGGATATAACTGCTGAAATGAGTTTTTTTTTTTTTTTTTAAATTTAAATCAATAATATTATCTTAATTTTTAGTTTGGGAATAGCTATTCGTAACATTGCTTTATTGAAAAATTTAGCAAGAAAAGCGGAAGATAAATATAATTATGAAATCAACGTTTTCTTTTATTAAATTCAGAAGCTCCATCAAGTATAGAAATATATTAGTTCTAGGATCAATCTGGTTCAGAGAGATCGAATTGTGATCTGGTTCTATGTATGCTTCTGGCTATGGTTTGACCGTATACGGAGTTACCAAAACTTTTCCAACAAAGTTGGCTATTAGGTTTATCTCGTGAAATCCGTACAAACTACGTAACGAACTTTTCGTTACCAAATAAATACAAGTTGCCTTTTTTCTTTTTTTCATAAAAGTAAGATAAAATTAACCTCACTCTTAACACTAAACAAGTAATTAACTAGAAAGTAAACATTGACACAATAACATCTTTCATATTAGAAAAAGAAAAGGAAAAAAAAACATAAGCGTTTTCCTGCCCCCCTCCCCGCGGGCGGGCAGATTTACATTCTTTATTAAAGAAAAAATCTTTCTCAAATAAGACTAGTTTGAATAAAATTTGTTTTACTAATTTAAGAAATTAGTATTGTATTCGAATTCATATATATAGAATTTTTTTTTGAATAATTATATTTTTTTTATACGTCTATTACTGAACAACGTGAAATTAATTTGAATTTTTGAACTCGAGATACATTAAGATTAAAAAATATATATATATTTCTTAAAAGTCTTTTTGTAAATTATGATCCAAAATAATAAATTGAGTAGCAAATCTATCAAAAACTAAGAAATATTTCTTGGTAAACCTATACAACAATTTTTTAATTCAATTTAATTATTATTCAAAGGCCATGTCATATTTGATTGTGTTTCTTAAAATTATACAATTTAATTCAAGATATTCATACATGATTTAAATGTATGTTAAAAATAGTAACAATATAATTATTTACATCTTCTTCTTTCTCGCCTAGTCTAAACAATAGAATTAAAAAATGATGGATTGTAAAATTAGAACATGATCGATCATGTTCACTTCCAAACATAACATGATCCAAATCTCTACCTAACAATCTATTCAACAATTATTTTAATTTTTTTTCAATAACATTATAAGAAAAACAATATTTGAACAACATTTATATATAAAAAAAAAATTAAACGCTTGATATATATATATAATGCATCTGAATAACAGAGCTCGCCTAAAAAAATGAAAGGAAAAAAAAAGCTGGCGAAAGAATGTGCTCGGAGTAGAGGTTTTTTTATCACTGCAACCAAACAAATGCTACTGGTTACGAATTTTATTTCTTCACATGAAAATACATTCATTAAATCAATTAATAGGTAAAGTAACACAAACTCAATTGTCCATAAAAAAAAAACAATTATTTTACATGGTTAGAAATTAACCAAATCTAACCACTACTGCTTCTTTGTGTCGTTGCCCAAGATAGACTCATCCTAATAAAAAAAAAAAAAAAAATTAAGTATACAACAGGTCCAAGTGAAAAATTCTATGTGTGAGGTGGCTGTGCCCACAGTTTTGAGAATCCGGCAAAGAGAGTTACATTCTTTACAATGCATCATTTACTATGGCAAATTTTACCTTCGCCATAAATAACTATCTAAATATAGGTTTAGCCATTAAATTACTTTACTAATAATGCCGATCGTACTTACCAAAATTAATCTGCAGCATTTTTTTTTAAAAAATCCACACTCATCTCTTTTTTACCAAATTAAGGCCAATGGCTTAGCACAAACTTGTTACACCTTATTTTACCATAATGCCTCCTCAACTATTTTCCAAATATGAAGAAAATTCTACCTTTTCGGTTTCAAAAATATTATTTATCTGTTTAAAAATATCTATTTAATTAATTTTTTAAGTGATATATATATTGAAACGCTCTTAGTCAAATTTCATTTTATAAAAAAATATTCAAATATAATTTTAAAAAGCAGAAAGAAAAAATGTTCTAATAGTATAATAATTAAATTTTTTAAATATGTTTGAAAAGTTAAATAATACCGTCTTTCTTAGAACGGAGTGAGTATTTTATTCCCTTGGAGACAAGAAAACAAATGGCACGGGGCACATGAAGTTGACAACAAATCTCTTCAACCAATGTGCTTTACTCGCTTAAGAAACTCATAATTCTTACCATAGACCTAACCCACCAGATCCTTACTTTTCACACTGCAACATAGGACCAGCGTACCTTCTAACCAATAGAAAATTGCAACGTGGCATACTTATCTTTAGCCGTACTAACCCTTTACATCAAGAGTTAAAAGCTCCTCTTCTATACATTGCCATGTAATACTCTTCCATATACGGTAACGCGTTTTAGCGGTCTAAATTCCATATAGTAAATCGATCCGTTTAATTCAGCTCCTTCTTTCCACGTGTACGGTTCCGATCTAATAAGGCCTCAGCTCTAATACCAAGCGG